TATATATATATATATATATATTTCATCTTATTATAGAGATGTGGGGTATAAGTAAGGATTAACCTCACAAGTAGGCTGGTTGCAGGTGAAGGTCCTTTTCTTGTGTTTTTGACCTTAATATTTAGCTCACATTCATTTACCTGTGATCTTTCTAGCGTTCTGACAAATATATTGAACAAGCACACCCAAACACACTTTTTCTTCCAGCACTTCTCCTGGTTTAGGACTAGGCATCCTTTGTGTTGTTACCTGCTCCCCCTTCCCTTCCTCCCCTCTCTTGGATTTTTGTGGAAGCTGCATGACATCCACTTTCCTTCCCCCATAATATAGGGTGAGACCCTCTGTGGGGAGAGTCTTAAGACCCAAATCAGAAAATGGGGGAAGATCAGAGTACTGAGTTGGAGCAGGCGGAAGTAGGGCAGGAGAAACTCAGAAAATCTGTTTCTGAGGCCTAACGCACCCAACATTATAACTGTAACAAGGACAATGAGAGCTCTGGACCAGGAACCATGGATGAAAACCAGTATCTGTATCATAACACCACACTGTCTCTATCTGCTCTTCCCATTTTCAGACAACTGTCTTCTGGTAGTCTGAGAGTCTAAAGAACTGATAAACTCTCCACAAATGACTTGCCCTCCCCAGGAGTTCCTGTCTTCTAAAAGTAGATACAGAGGAAAAAAACCTAATGGAAAGAAAGAAACAAAGGAGTGGGTAGGTAATTGTGAAATTCTTTGCTGGAGAGGGAAATCATCGGTTGGAAGAGTAAGAGGAAGGGGATGGATTTCTGGTGTCTCTCAGATGCCATAATTAGGGAACTAATCACGCTGCTTTATATGTAAGGGTAAGTCATACCCTTGCTCGTTGAGGCTTCTCAAACACGGTGTTCTGAAGAAGTGAGAGGCTGGGAACCTAAGAACACATGCCTCCGTGTGTGCAGTACCAGAAACTAGCAGAGTGGTGGGAAATTTACTAGTGATCTGCTGTGGCCCTTACGCAAACCCTTAGAGAAAGAGTGCTATTGCCGAAGAAAGAAGGCTCTATTCTTTAAATAATCAGGTAGAATATAAACTCGTTGGGGCTGAATGAAGAATACTCGGCATGCTCTCTGTCATTCAATCTTTGTATTTTACTAAATTCATCATAGCTACACTGGCGGATACGGTGGATATTCTGAAGATGATGACTGTGGCGAACAGAATGATGCCCCCCGCAAAGATGTCTATCTCTTGATCTTTGGGCCTGTGAATGCTACCTTACATAGCAAAAGGTGCTTTGCAGATAAGATTAAATCAAGAATTATGAGATGGGAAGATGATCCTGGATTATCCACGTAGTTTCAATGTAATTATAAAGGTGTTAAAAGGGAAAGATGGAAGCTGGTGTGGTGGTTTATGCCTGCAATCCCAGCACTTTGGGAGGCTGAGGCAGGAGGATTGCTTGAGCTCAGGAGTTTGAGATTAGGCTGGGCAACATAATGAGACTTGGTCTCTACAAAGAAAAAAAATTAACTGAGTGTGGTAACACATACCTGTAGTCTCAGCTACTCAGAAGTCTGAGGAGGAAGGACTGCCTGAACTCAGAAGTTTGAGGCTACAGTGAGCTGTGATTGTGCCACTGCACTCCAACCTGGGTGACTGAGTTAGACTCTGACTCAAAATGAAAAAAATAAAAAGGTATGGGGGGAAGATGATCGCAGGAAACTCATAGAGAAGGAGATGTGACAATACAATGATGCAACTTCTGGCTGACAAGAAATTGAGGAAGCCTTTAGAAGACACCTCCTTCCACCCACAAAAAAAGGGGAAAATAAAGGGATTTTCCCCTAGAGCTTCCAGGAAGAAGATAACTCAGTCAATGCCTTGATTTTATCCTTATAAAACTCATTTTGGACTTCCGAACTCTGGAACTGTAAGGTAATAAGTTGTGTTTTAAGCCGCTCTTGTTTGTTAGCAGCAATGGGAAAGGAATACAATGTCCAAATCATGAGTGTAGTAACCACAAAGCAGGTGTCTGGGCATGATTGCTGGTTGATAATTTGAATCCATGAGAGGATTTCATGTTTCTCAATATGGATACTGGATATGCACAAAACTTAGTTTGTTTTGATTTTGAGTTTGCATTGCATTGCTACGAAACCGGCCAAGCTTGGGAAGCTTGTGAGTTACTTCATTTGGGCTCTTGACAGATTCCCTGGTTCCTGAGCTGGAATCCAGATTCTGAAAAGGTTCTCCCGCCCTGGACACCAAAATCTCTGCCAGGATGAGTCATCCCTCCATAACTCTGCTGTGCTGCCCACTAGTGGTTGGGGCTTAGATCAATGAAAACTCTGAGAGCTGTCCTGGGCTCCCTGAGTCACCTGTCACCTGGCTTTCACAATTGCAATCCTTTGGGGGGGGGGGGGGGAGGGACACAGAATGCTGTTGAATTATGTTCAAAGGAAGGAGCATGCAATGAAGAGGGCAGAGTGGAGCCAGAAGGGGACAGTCTAGAGACAATTTTTTTCTGCTGCCAATGCCAGAGAGAGGCAGGTGGTATATTATACCCCTGAACTAAGGATTCTCACCCATATTTCAATTTTTTTTTTTTTGACTTAGAGTCTTATTCTGTTGCCCAGCCTGGAGTGCAGTGGCACAATCATGGTTCACCAAAGCCTCAATCTCCTGAGCTCAGGCAATTCTCCTGCCTCAGCCTTCCGAGTAGCTGGGACTACAGGCACAAATCACCATGCCTGGCTGCTTTTTTTTTTTTTTTCCAGTTGGAGTCTCACTCTGTTGCCCAAACTGGAGTGCAGTGGCTGCTCCCGGCCACCGCAGCCTCGACCTGCTGGGCTCCGGCAATCCTTCTGCCTCAGCCTTCCAAGTAGCTGGAACTACAGGGGTGCGCTACCACGCCCCGGCTAATTTTTTATTTATTGTAGAGATGAGGTCTTGCCAAGTTGCCCAGGCGGGTCTCGAACCCACGGGCTCAGGCAATCCATTCACCTCAGCCTCCCAAAGGGGCGGGATTACAGGCTGAGCCACGGAGCCCAGCTGCTTTTATATATATATATATATTTTTTTTTTTTTTTTTGTAGATACAAGGTCGCACTATGTTACCCAGGCTGGTCTCAAACTCCTTGGCTCAAGTATTCTTCCTGCCTCAGGCTCCCAAAGTGTTGGGATTACAGACATGAGCCACCGCGCCAAGCCCTCTATATTCCAATTTTAATGATTCCCAATAATGCCACCACTTGTGCAGAGAATGCTGATCAGCAAATACAAATAAAATTTAGAATACCCATATTTTAAAATTAAATGATTGAAGAACATGAGTCTTTACTTTCAGATATATAGTTATTTTATTCCTTTCATTCATTTATACACTAGGTCTTTAGAATAGCTCTTCTTTTATAATCTTCTCCTTTGTTCCTCTGAAAAATGGAAAACAATGCAAATATTGAACATCATATGTGGAGCTGGGCATTGTATTAGACACATATTTTTAATGTGTGTGAAATACCTTAGGTCATTACTATTATCCAGATGAAGAAAGTGCATTCAACTAGTTTAAGTAACTTGCAAAGGGACTTACTTCAGGCAGCAAGGCTAGTATTCAGGCCCAGAGAACTTGTCCAGGGTCAGGACTCCAGCTCGGGGATCTTACTTGTCTTTCAGTTCATCTGACATTTATTTGACATTAGCTGGGTACCTACTGGTGCTTAGCACTATCCATGTGTTGGCTACAGCAGGGAACAAAACAGACAAAAATCCCTGTTCTCATAGAATTTATACAGAATTTATATAGTGTTTTGGCAAGACCCTGGGTTTATTTCATTAGCATCTTAAGGTATTCAGTCATGCACACCCATCACAACACTCCACTCAGATGGAAGTTTAACTCTGAGTAGCGACCTTGTTATACGTTCCTTCCTCAGGGACCTGACTTCAACTCTTAGCATAAGCCCGAGGGGAGTTCTTAAATTCAGAGTTCCTGTTAATTTATACGTTTTGACAAGAAGAGCTGGAATTGTGCATTTATGGTTCAGGTTTTTATTTCCATAATGATTCCCAAAGGGCGATAACAAGTTGTGCATTTCTGGTGGATGATGGCTGCCTTCTGTTTTGCTCTTTAAGGGTCTAAGCAGCACTGGGCCAGGACCAGGCAAAACAGAGGGCACATGTTAGATGTTCCTTATATGTGGAATCCAAGCTCTACATGCATGTGGGAATTCAAATAATTCTTTCATATTACAATCTTCCCACTGCCCTTGCCACTGTAACTTCTAACATTACTTTTTCATGTTGCCCAAAGTTTGGTGCAATTTCTATGAAAATGAGGTTTCCACTTTTTTTTTTTTTTTTTTTTTTTTTGAGTTGGAGTCTTATTCTGTCACCCAGGCTGGAGTGCCGTGGCACCATCATGGCTTCTGCAGCCTTGACCTGCTGGACTCAGGCTATTATTCCACCTCAGCTTTCCAAGTAGCACTACAGGCGCGTGCCACTACATTCGGCTAATTTTTTTATTTATTGTAGAGACAAAGTCTCGCCAAATTGCTCAGGCTGATCTGGGATCCCTGGGCTCAGGCAATCCTCTCACCTCTGCCTTCCAAAGTGTTCGCATTATAGATGTGAGCCACTGTGCCTGGCGAGGTTTTCACTTTTAAAATATTTTAACAGACAGACTGTGAGTGGTACTGCTACCATGATTTAAATAAATGGACTTAACAAAGCAGATGAAAATTTCTTTGCACTCATAGAAATAGGAGTACCTTGGCTAAAAACCACTGAATTATAAGCGTGCTTAAAGGTCTCACAGATGGAAATCTTGGAGCAGCCTGCCACCTTCAGGATAAGTTACCCAATTAACTATCTCAGAAAATGCCGATTTCAGCTGCTATAAAGTTCCTGTAAATTCTATACATTCCCAGTAAAAAAGTTTCATGATAATCAACTGTGGAAACTGTATTCCTGAAGTGCTTTTGCTATGATTTAGCATTATATTGAATGGTTTATTTTCTTTAAATAAAGCTGTCCCTTTCTTTACTTTGGAGGGGGGAGAGAGAATGAGAATGTAACACTTAAAAAAAAAAAATCTTATAGGCACAAGGGTACCTGCATAATGAACATTTGTATACCTAACCCTGAATGGTAGCCCGCATCTTTAAAATAAAAAATTTAAAAAAGAAGAAAAAGTCTTAGAGGCAGTTCCTTCCATTAAGTTACACAGAGGCTTCACAAGAATGAGGCCGGCAGAAGAGAAGAGAAATAGGCTAGGGAATGACAGATGACTCAGCGCTTAGTGGTATGGAGAAATAAATCAAATTAGTAGCAAATATCAATATAAAGACAAGGGAAGTGTTAACTGAAGCCCAAGCCATTAAATTAGTTGCGAGAAGGGGATGTAAAAAATACTGGAAAAAGTGGATTACGGTGGCTCGAAAATGCATCAGACAAGAGGACAGGAAAATAAGGGGCATATTCATCGAGATACCCTTTCATTATTTTCATTTCACAAAAGCAGGAAGGGAAACTTTGGAGCCTTGTTTGACCCTGGAATCGCAAGTCCCACTTTCACCGGCTTGCCCTTCGGCGGCACCGCCCGGCCGAACGACTTCAAGGTCAAGTTCCCTTCGACTTGGATCCTCAATTCTTGCCGGCAACTTCGGAACCACGTGGGACGCTTTCACCAATGCCGGGCTTCACTCCAGAGAGGATGAAATCAGAAAGCCCGGGGTGAGGCCCGGCCGGAAAAGCCTCAAAGCTTCCCGGGTGACTCCACGGGACGCCACGGCGGAGAACAAAGGCGGGTCCGGGG